CAGTACTGCAGGCCACTTTAGCTTACTGTGTTCAGCAGGTCAGCGGTTCAAATCTCACCGGCTCAAGGTTGACTCAGCCTTCCATCCTTCCGGGGTAGGTAAAATGAGGACCCAGATTGTTGGGGGCAATGTAAATATATATATACATTGCTTACTGGTGTACACCGCTTAGAGCGTGCTTGCACTTAAAGCGGTATATAAGTCTCATAAATAAATAAATAAATAAATAAATAAACTTCAAAGTCACAAAAGCACAAAAGAATCCTTCCACTCTCCATCTCCCTCCTTGCCTCACCTCCAGCTGGTGCTGTCTTTCTTCATTGCTGTCTTTCTTCATTCCTCATGGAGAGCAACCCTCCTCCCTACGTTTCTTGCCTCTTGGTTGCTGCCAGCACAGGTGGCTGCCAAAGAAGTTGTAGATCCACTTGTGGCCGGCCTGCTTGATCTCCTCTCCTCTCCCCCACCCTCCTCCTCCTTTCCATTCTGTGCAGGTAGAGCTGACTCCACCTCCTCCCAAGGCTGCTTCTTTTTCTCTCTCTCCTTCTCCCGACCCAAACTGCCTCCTTTTATAGCCTCTCCTGTCTCCGCGCCCTCCTCTTCCTTTCTCATGGGGGAGGGGGGTGAGCCAGAAGCGAGCCTGGGGCCTTTGCCTCGCCCCAGCCACTCTGCAGCTCCAGAGGACTCTCTCACAGTAAGTCCTTGCCTGCACTGGCTTCTTCCCTTCCCCACTACACTTGGCTGGGCAGGGCAGCATACCATCTGTCATGTGCTCATGTACCACAGGTGGTACACATACTACCAGTTGAAAAACCCTGCTGTCAGCTGCCTAGAGTCATTTTATCATGAGATGGTGGCAAATAAATTTAATAATTAAATAAATGTTCCGGTATTATATCTAATTTTTAAAAATGTGGTTTTCTTTTGAATGGGATCCCTACAATTACCTGAAACATGCTCTGTGTGTGTCTTCCCCATCTTCTGGGTCTCTTTCCGTCTCCCCCACATCTGGCAGGAAATTCCTTCCGTTCTGGGGCATTTCCAGTATTTATTTCTGTTGGACTTGTGCAATTTGATGATGGAAACTGATCCCAACCAGGAAGGATTTACTTTTTTCCATCTTTCAGGATCCCATTTAATTTCTTGCTGCAATTTGCTTTGGAAATGACTTAAAACAAATACTATTTTCAGGACTGAAAAGGGCTCTTGGCCTGAACTAACCAACTTGGTCTCCTGTTCTGGCCCCTCCTCTTTCTCCCCCCCCATGTCCCTTCTCCCCCTCCTCCCCTCCAGCCAAGCCCACCGTCTCCATCTCCCCCACCAAGCTGGACCCCACTTCCCCTAACACCATCCTCCTCTGCATCGTGAGGGGCTTCTACCCTGTGGAGATTGAGGTTCGGTGGCTGAAGAATGGGCAGCCAGAGAAGGAGGGCGTGGCCTTCGGGGAGGAGCTCCAGAACGGAGACTGGACCTACCAGCTCCAGGTGATGCTGGAGACCCAGCCCCAGCGGGGGGAAGTCTACACCTGCCAGGTGGAGCATGCCAGCCTGGAGGCCCCCATCACCGTCCAGTGGGGTGAGCCCCTCCCCTCCCCCTCTGGGGACCCCCTTCTCTCCTGAGAAGGGGCAGAGACCCTCTCTGTGGGGGGAGCTGGAATGGACCCTCCTGGGGGGGAAGCTGGCCCTGATCTTCCTACTCAGTGAGACTCCTTCTCCTTCCCCAGAGCCCCGTTCCTCCAATTCTGCCAGGAGCAAACTCTGGACGGGGATTGTGGCAGCCGTGATCGGGGTGATCTTCTTTGCCATGGGGCTCTCCCTCTACCTGAAGAGCAAGAAAGGTGAGTCTGGGGGCTGGATAAGAGATTGTGGGGGAGGGGACCATCCAGGGGAGGCCTCTCAGCAAGCTTAGCAGATGGCAAGGAGGCCCCCCTGGAAATTTGGGAAATTCTGTTCTTTGAGGGTCTATTGTATAAGTGAGCATCCTGCAACCTATTATGGGCTATCGATAGGGAGCCCCCCCCCTGAGTCCTCCATCCCATGAAGGGTCCTGATTGGGTCTTTTTCTCATTCCAGCAATTCCCATCCAGCCTCCTGCAGGTGAGTTTCTCATCAAGTTATAGATGTTTCTTTAATATTCATTAATTGATCCTTTAAAAGAAAAATGTGCCCGAACAAAACCTCCTAGCTGTGGATAACACAAATTTTTGAAATTTTGGGCAGCTTTTCATTAAAGAGACCTGAAAACAATGCAATGAAAAACAAGCACACACACATAAACACTAAAATCTGGCCCAGGAGGTTTCTAAGTTTTGGGAAATTGCAAAAGAGAAGGGAAGTCTCCTTGTGACATTTCACACAATTTCTGGTAAAGTGACACCCAGCTTTGCTACCACTCCCCATCCTGGCCCCATCTTCTTTGTTAATATGAAATGTCTGGGGGGAGGGAGACCTCCTTTCTTGATTAACCCCCCAGCTAAGTCAATTGGGAAAAATTCCATAAGCCTCTGGAGATGAATTGCTGGTCCTTTGCATCCTTTTCCTCTTTGAAAAAAAAGGGGGGGAGAAACTCCCTCACTTTGTTCCCACCCATCAACCACCCCCCTGCAATGTGGGCCTGTCTGGGGGTGGCTGAAAGAGAGGAATAATAAGCTATTTACACTGGTTTCACTTTATTTTCTAATTTTCTCCCCATCTCTTTTTTTCTACAGCACTCATGAATTAATTCTGCCGTCCTTCCTGCTTCCTGGTGGGAAAGGAAGGGGCTTTTTTCCATTAGCTGATGAATTTCTGTCTCTCTTTTGCAACCTCTGAAAAATGGAGGGTCAAGATTTTAAATTGGGGGGAGGAGGAGAATGGAAGCCTGGAGCTTTTCCTGCTGAGACCCCTCTGGCTTTCCTTTGAAGGCCTCTCTTTCTTGTGAGGGAGCGGTGGAGACCATCTAGACTGACCCCAGGGACTCTGGACCTGCCTGTCAGTCCAGACACCCAAATCTCTTCCGGCTTTAAATCCACAGCAGCTTCATCTTCATTACTCTTCGTCCGAATCCCTTCCCTTCGCTTTGCTATAAAAGAATAAACATTGTAGGAAAAATCCTGGAATTCCTCCTTCCTTCCTTCCTCTTCCTCCTTCTCTTTCCTCTCCCCCCAGGAGGGTCCTCCCTTCTCCCCTTCCCCTCCCCAGATTGACACCTCCCCTGCCTCTGGATCAACCATCCCAGCTACTTCAGGTCCAAAGTCAAAACTGGTTTGGGAGGAGGGTGGGCAGATCGAGGGAGGGGAAGGGACAGGACTCCCCTCCTGCTCAGAGGCGCCCTTTCTCTGCTTCCCCTCAAGCCTCCTTTTGAGGACCAGGATGCCAGGAGGCGGGTCCCGTACAAGCACTTGTGGGGAGCCACTGGGGGACACCTGAGACTCCCCCTACACTCACCCAGCCATTTGTGCCATTTCTCTCCTTCACAACTGGAGGGTTCTGCCCCATTTTGGCACCCAACGCCTCTCTCCCTCCACCTGAGACCCCAGAGGCCTTTTCCAGGACTGCCCACCTATCGCCACTGCCACCCCACAGCCCTTCCTGCCTTCGGGTCTGAAGCCCCCTCCCTCTGGGCAGAGGAGACCCCTAGAGCAGTGTCTCCTGCACAGTTTGAGGGTCCTCCTGCTTCATGTCCTGGGTGGAGGACCCCGTCCTGACCCGATGGTCCCCAACAGAGACAGTCCTGTGAGAGTCTCATGTTTGGCCCCCAACTGGAACTCATATGAGACCCCCCCCTCAGAAAAGGCCCTGAGTGGTCCTGTGGCCAATGGCCTTGATCTCTGGGAAGGTCGCCCTGATGTCCATCTCCCTGGTCTGACGGCTCCTGGGCAGGGGGTGTTGGGAAGGGTGTCTTCCCCAGGGCCTCTTGGGGCCAGAGCAGAAAGTCCAGCCGAAGCCATTCCTGGTGTAGGAGACATTTGCCATGGGGGGGGAGGGAGGGAGAGCAGCTCTGCGGGAGAGAGGAAAGATCAAGGGGGTGAGTGGAAGGCCCCTCCCTTCTCTCCAGCACCCCTAGATGCCCCTAGATAGCTCTCCCACTGAGCCTTGCCCCCTCCAGAAGCCATCCAGGCTGCTTCTGCAGGATTCCCCTGGCATCGATCTCCAAGGGCAGATTTTGTCTCCCTCCCATTCCTCATCTGGGGCACATAAAGACTAGGTCGGTGGAGGAACAGTCTCAAAACCTTACAACACAATGCCTGTCTTCACAATATTTGTGAAGGCCACACTTGGAATACTGCATCCAGTTTTGGTCACCACGATGTAAAAAAGATGTTGAGACTCTAGAAAGAGTACAGAGAAGAGCAACAAAGATGATTAGGGGACTGGAGGCTAAAACATAAAAGGAACGGTTGCTGGAATTGGGTATGTCTAGTTTAACGAAGAGAAGGACAAGGGGGGGACATGATAGCAGTATTCCAATATCTCAGGGGCTGCCATAAAGAAGAGGGAATTAAGCTATTTTCCATGGCCCCTGAAGGCAGGACAAGAAGCAACAGGTGGAAACTAATCAAGGAGAGAAGCAACCTAGAACTACGGAGAAACTTCCTGACAGTAAGAACAATTAATCAGTGGAACAACCTGCCTCCAGAAGCAGTAAATGCTCCAACACATTTGTCCGAAATGGTGTAGGGTTTCCTGCCTGAGCAAGGGGTTGGACTAGATGACCTCCAAGGTCCCTTCCAAATTGATTACTATTACTACTACTACTACTACTACTACTACTACTACTACTACTACTACTATTATTATTATTATTATGCAGTCGTTATGCAGTCAACATCACCTTAGATGCAAACTAAATCCGGCTACCCCATATTTTCCTGGAACATAATTATGGGCTGCCAGCTGGGGGAACTTGGGGAAGTATGTGTTGATGTACAGTAGCAACAGGCTTAGTTCCTTGCATCATCAGGAAGAGCCAGCAGGTGTAGGAATTTCTCACTCTTCCGTTGGACTCTTTCACTCAGCTGAACAAGAAGGGCTGGAGAAGAGAGGAGAACATTGCAGGGTTTACTAGACCCAAACCTCCTTTCTTCTCCTGCCAGTGACAGAACTGGAGTTAGAAAGGGCTCTTTGCCTTGAGGGGGGAGCCCCTTTCTGAGGACTCCCCCCTGCCCACCTTGCCCTCACAGGCAGTGAGTATTAGAGGGTCAGTGAGGCTACACATGGCAAAACTAGCCAATCTGAAAAGAAAGTCAATTATTAGTAAGGTAGTTCTTTGCTCAAGAACCGCAGGGAGCAGGCAGAGGCTAGCTGTATTTCTGAAAGTGCATTGAAGTCTAGAAATAATGTTGAGCTCCTGGTGTTACCCCAGAAATGGTCAATTATCTTGTGTAATGAGTACTGTATGTGCAGAGAGGGAAATGGGGACAAACTGACATGTTGTTTAACAATAAAGTGTCAAGCTGTGAAGATCCTTTGCTTTAGAACTGCCATGATGCTTCTAGCTGATTTCTGTGTTACGTGTACCCTGCCTGTGTTGTAAAAAATGCTGCATTAAAAGGTTAATAAAGAATGGATATATGTTAGACCTACTTTGGTAATTACTATTTGTATTTTAATAATTATTTTCAGTGAAGTCTGATTCATAGTTGAGATTTTAACATTTTATTCGATGATTTATGCCACAGGTTAAATATTTACATCCCCTTATAAATTTAGACATTGCAATAAAAGAGAAGTAGAAAGTGTGTGAATGAAAGTTGAGAGGGGGGAGGAATTGAATAGGTTCAGGCTTGTATGGATACTGGTTGTGCAAATTATGTTTTCACCTGTGTACGTTGTTAGATCACACCCTTTTATTAGCATAGGTGTAATAGTGTCCACAATAGTATCCCTCACATGTTGGCTGTGTTTGTTTGCCTGCATCAGGTCCTATGTGACTCACCTCAGATAATTTGGTTTTATTGTGTAGTCTATCTATTTGTTTAGATGGTATCTAATCAATTTCATAACATCTGTTGGTCTGTCTGTTTAACAAAAAGATTGGGCCAGGAAAGGATCCTCTCTCTCTCTCTTGCGGATTTCCTATTGCTGCATCTTCATTTCCTTTATCAAGATCCAGGCTGTGCTGATATTAAGTCACTCTTATTCTAAGTTGTATCCAAGGCTATTTCACTTGAGAAAAAATAACCTTAAGAATTTTTCTTCTGCTCCTTTCCAAGATCTTAGTGAATAGCTTCAATCTGATTTTATACTATTTCTGCCGAAGAAACTACATTAGCTGGAAGACATCAGTGGCAAAGTAATCCCAAAGCAATAAATAAATAAACCAAAAGAGAAGAATGAGAGTGTGTGAAATTATAGCATAATATGTGGTTGAAGAGCAGGCAACACCCCCCTCCCTCCCTCCCTCCCTCTCCCCCTCCCTCCCTCCTTCCCTCCCTCTCTCTCCCCCTCCCTCGCTTCTTCCCTCTCCCTCCCCTCCCCTCCTCTCTCCCCCTCCTTCCCTCCCTCCCCCTCTCTCTCTCCCCTCCCTCTCTCCCTCCCTCTCTCTCTCCCTCCCTCCCCCTCCCTCCCTCTCTCCCTCCCTCTCTCTCTCTCTCCCTCCCCCCGCTCTCTCTCCCTCCCCTCTCTCCCTCTCTCCCTCCCTCCCTCTCTCTCCCTCCCTCCCTCTCTCTCCCTCCCCCCTCTCTCTCCACAAATGTTTTAGAGTTTGATGGGTAGCAATTTTATTTATATAAAGAAAGATAAAGCGATAGCAGGTGGCAATCTCAGGTCCTTGGCCATGTCTTGAAGATATCCATGGTCGTAGATGGAGATGGCATTATTTTCCCCTTTCCCTATACAAATGAGAAAAAAATAATAAGTTGATCAAAGTGAGTTTAAAGTAAATTCTTTGCTTTGCAAAGCTTTGCGAATGCAAACAATATCAGGCAGAGAATCACATTATGTACTGATCTGTAGTATCTCTATTGGAGGAGAGTTGTCTTACCTTCTACAGCACTTCAGTAGTGGCTCACAGCCCAGCTGACCAATTTCAGAAGTTGTAGGAGGACATTGGGCGACACGGCAGAATCCGCCTACCCGATGACACTGTCGTTGGGCATTCCCTATGAAAAGAAAAAGAGGAGACAGGTAAACGATGAGTAAAGATTCCTTAATATTTGAATATATTTTCCCTTCCAAGACACTACCTTCTTCTACAGAACTGCAGGATTCCTTTATCAATTTATATTTTTATTCATTTACAACATAAAAATATCAAAATAAAAAGCAAATAGTAAGGAACAACTATAGGGAAAGAGGAAAAGGGGAAATGTGGAAAGGGGGGGAGAAACAAAAGGTGTTGACTTCCGATTCCCTGTTGCAGTAAAATAAGGCATGAAAATCGAATCTCAACTTTTTGCATTTCTGTATTAGTATGAACTAGCCATTTCTCTATCAACAAATCAGTCTAATCAGTAAACCCCAAAATCATCGTATCATTTTTTTCCACCTCAAGCACAAAGGCCAGAAGCAGTTTCCAAGTAGAAACAATAGTACTTATATTCTTTTCTTTTATCAAAACTGTCAGTTTAGCCAAATTCACTCAGTCAGCTTTCAGGCCCAAGGTGGGACTGGAACTCAGTACCCAGAGTTGCAGTATTTTGCTCTAATCACTAGACCAAACTGTTTCTCTATTGTGCCTCCTTATTCAGACAAAACATATTTGGCTGAGAATTTGGTAAACCAATACTAAAGTGAAGCATACCCCCCCAAAATAAGCTACACTAACAAAACCCCCAATAAAGTTCTTTCAAGAATTGTGAATCAAAAGAAAAATCAATGGCATATTTTTCAAATCTTTGGAGGCTCATGTTGTCAATAGTCTATACTGTTCAAAGCTATTTCTGTAAAGTAAAACAAAAAGATGTTGAAGATTATCCTGCTTTCAGTGATGATCGTATTTGTTTAAAAAGGAGTGAGTTACCAATCCTTTGTAAATTATCAGTAATTTTATTTCTTACCTGGTTCAGACAGGAATGCAAGGAAAAGAAATGTGAACAGCAGATAAAGGACCTTCATGCTGAGACTGGTTCTGGACCAAATCTTAGTCCTGGGACAGACGTGGCTCTCTATTTATGGAGTTGTAATGATTGCATCATATCACCTCAGTGAACTGTTGCAAAATAGTTCTTACCTAAGGCAACGGTGCATCTTCCTTGTATTGAAACACTCCTGTTTGTTAGCTGTTACAAAAGCCCTGAGAAGAGCAGCAGACTTAGTTGAACATCTAACCTGCTATGGCTATAAAAGATGGGAGGCTCAGGACTTGCAGTGTCTGAATGGGTCAAAGAAAATTCCTTACTGAATTGCTGCCCAAACTCTACAGTCCACGATGATAATGCTCGGCCAGGTTCACCAATGGCTGGACTTTGGGAAGAGCCCTTAGAACTAAGTGGTGGAAATCTGGGGTTGGCACTGCTATCATGGGCGACACCTTTTTATGGGTGGGTTTTGGGAAAACAGCTGCTCTGCTTCCTGGTGGGTCTTTGTGGCACTCAGATGAAGCACAGACTGATTTGGCTTTCCTTGAAGTATTCCTCCCTCATCCAGGTGATTTCTATTTCTCTCAAGACAGAGAATATGCAGAGTTGGAAATATCCCTGCAGTCTTAGTTAAGGGTTAATAATAATAATAATGATAAAGTGGGAAGGGACCTTGGAGGTCATCAAGTCCAACCCCCTGCTCAGGCAGGAAACCCTATACCATTTCGGACAAATGGCTATCCAGTTTCTTCTTAAAAACTTCCAGTGTTGGCGCATTTACTGCTTCTGGAGGCAGGTTGTTCCACTGATTAATTGTTCTCACTGTCAGGAAGTTTCTCCTTAGTTCTAGGTTGCTTCTCTCTTTGGCTAGTTTCCACCCATTGCCTCTTGTCCTGCCTTCAGGCACTTTGGAAAATAGCTTGACTCCCTCTTCTTTCTTGACTCCTGAGATATTGGAATACTGCTATCCTGTCCCCCCTCGCCCTTATGTTCATTAAACTAGACATGCCCAATTCCAGCAACCGTTCCTTATATGTTTTAACCTCCAGTCCCCTAATCCTCTTTGTTGCTCTTCTCTGTACTCATTCTACAGTCTCAACATCTTTTTTACATTGTGGTGACCAAAACTGGATGCAGTATTCCAAGTGTGGCCTTACCAAGGCATTAAAGAGTGGTATTAATACTTCACGTGATCTTGATTCTATCCCTCTGTTAATGCAGCCTAGCACTGTGTTGGCCTTTTTGGCAGCTGCAGCACATGGCTGGCTCAGATTTAGGTGATTGTCTACTAGGACTCCGAGGTCCCTCTCACAGTTACTACTATTGAGCATGGTGCCACCTATGCTGTACTTGTGCATTTGGTTTTTCTTGCCTAATGTAGAACCTTGCTTTTTTCACCATTGAATTTCATTTTGTTAGTTAGTGCCCAGTGTTCAAGTCTGTCCAGATCCTTCTGTATCTTAAGCCTGTCTTCTGGAGTGTTGGCTATTCCTGCCAGCTTGATGTCGTCTGCAAATTTGATGAGTTCCCCATCTATCCCCTCGTCCAAATCGTTGATGAAGATGTTGAAGAGCACTGGGCCCAGAACAGAGCCCTGGGGCACCCCACTACACTCTTCCCTCCATGTAGATGCGGTTCCATTGAGGACCACTCGGCTGAGTACGGCCGGTCAGCCAGATATGGATCCATCTGGTGGTGATTCTGTCTACCCCACATTTTTCTATCTTATCAAGAAGTAGGTTGTGGTCTCCTTTATCAAATGCCTTACTGAAGTCCAACTAAATTATATCCACAGCGTTCCTCTGATCCACTAATTTTGTCACTTGGTCAAAGAATGCAATAAGATTTGTCTGGCATGATCTGTTTTTGACAAACCCGTGTTGGCTTTTAGTAATGACTTTGTTTGCCTCTAGGTGTTTCGCTGATTCATTGTTTGATTATCTTTTCCAGAATCTTCCCAGATATTGAGGACAGGCTGATAGGTCTGAAATTTCCTAGATCCATTTTTTTCCTTTTTTGAAGATGGGAACTACATCAGCTGTTTTTCAGTCCTCTGGTAGTTCCCCTATGCTCCAGGATCTTTGAAAAATATAGTTCAATGGTTCTGAGATCACATCTGCCAGTTCCTTGAGCACCTTGGAGTGTAATCCATCTGGTCCTGGTGATTTGAACTCATCTAGGCTGGACAGGTGCTCACTTACCATTTTCTTGCCTATCTTAACTTGTGTTTCTATTATGTTTTTTATGGTACTATTTTTGATAGGTTGATCTGTATTTTCCCTTTGTGTAAAGAGAGATGCAAAAAATGAGTTTAATAGTTCTGCTTTCCCCCTATTGCTTGTCACCTTCTTGCCACTTCCACCCACTAATGGGCCAATCATTTCCTTCATTATTAGAACATTTCCTATTGATTAGTCATTAGGCCATGTCAAGATAAAGAATATAAAACACAGAACATCAACAAGATTGCATATAAAAACAGAATTTAGAAAAATAAGTACAATAGAATAATCATAAAAAATGAAAATAGTATTTCTTTATAACTCCAGAATGTACTACCAGACCATAATTTCCTTCTGAAAAGGAATTTATTATATATAATTTTTGAATTCTGAGCACAGAGGAAATACAATTTTTAAATATTAGGATCCCAAAAGATTGTTTCTCTAAAGTGCAATCCAAGATATTGATCTCCCTCTTTCTTAAATAATTGTCATACAAAATAAGAGATGTACTACATCTTCAATTTCTGGAGCTCCACAAATACAAGTATATTCATTGTAAGGAGTTTGGAAGATTGAACTCAATACTTGGAAGGTACATTTGTAGCAGCTGATGCCTTTCAATGTGCCAGCCTTACTGAAGATGGTCTGACCATCTTGGTTATTATTATTAAGGTCCATAACTCATGCGGCGGAATCAATCTCCTTCCTCTTTCTAAAAAAAAGAATTAGAATTCAAAGCACTCTGACAGAGTGGGATATCCAGTGCCTTTCCTGATTCAGACAGAGAAACCAAGATTCACTTGCAAGAGAGAGAAAATACATTCAAGAGCACAGTTCCTGTCTGTCCTGTAATGTGAGCCAAAAAAAGCATAACCTGTGATATTTATCCTTTTCTGATGCAAGATCCCTTCCATGTTGCTCCAGTCTGATGTTTACACCAAAGGCAGTCACTGGAGACGTAGGAGAAGAGGTCTCAGAGACAGGGAGGGTGATGATTGCAGTGAGAAGGAGCTTCTGCTCTTGGGACCCTGAACTTCTTCCATGTAAGGAGGGGTAGCTGGAGAAAAGCAGGTTAGAGAAAAGTCACAGATAGACCCCTTGGGGCAGTGTTCTCTAGTGGTCTTAGTCCTTCCTGTTAGGGCACGTCCAGAAAGTCATGCTGGATGGAGATAGTTGAACAGGTAGGAAAGTGACTTCTGCTGTCCTTCAATGGGGTCTGTTGCCTCCAGAGGCTGCTAGGGAAGGTCACCCAGAGTTATGGAGTTTGGTGCCACTCTAGGTTGGTGACCCTTAACTCTAGTGCTGCCTGTGCTTTAGCTCCATGAAAGCCCACAGTATCCTTGAACCCAGCGCAATGTTAAGAGTTTGGGATTTTCTTTTCAATGAGATCTCCATGTATTAATCCTAATTTGGAGCTGATTTTATAATTCCTTGTAATTGAAGTGAAATTTCATTTGCCATCTGTTCTAGAAACATCATTTTTTTGCATGAGACCTGGCTAAGAGGCAGGAAAGTGACAGCCTGGGATAGCACCATTGGCACAGAGAGAGAAAATTGTAGAGTGGGTAGAGGTTTTAGTTTCCTTGATACTTTCTGTGTTGTCTTTCCATACTGATACAATGAGAGCCATTACATTTTGACATTTCTTGGTTTAAATAAAACCAAGAAATGTGCTGTTAGGTCTGCAGTTGAGGTGGTTGCAGCACCCGCAGTGCGGTGGATGGTGTATCCAGATTTCTTGCCACAACCACCCGGAAGTTGGTTTAGACTGAGGGACCTGGTGGCAGTTCCTCTGGTTGTGTTGATGCACTTGGTGTTTTGTGGCTCCTGTGACATTCCCATCTCTGAGACTTTGTTTGTCCTTCCTAGAAGCTTCCATGTGCTTATAGTTTGGAGTCCCTGTGTTCTGGTTTATCTTGGTCGATTGTTGATTATTTTTGTTACCTGGAGGGGGGACGTTAATATATACAGCTTGGCCTAGAAGGGAGAAGTGGGGGATTTAGTGACAGGGGGAGCTGATGGGATGGTCAGGTCCACCCTTACAATGAGGAGCACAGGGTGACCAATATCCCATGTCCATCATTGGAAAGTTCTCCCACTGTGTTGTCCTCAGCTTCCACTCTCAGTGCCTGCCTACCAGATCGTTGGTGGCTCCAGGTACCGGCTGTTCTTTCTGAATGCCAGGTTTCTCTTGTCCATGATGTTACCTGCCATGTCTCCCTGAAGCCTAGTTGTGCCCTGAGGGGAGGAGACCTCAGTTGCAAATGTGGCCACCAGCTTTATGGGTTTGCCTCAGGTGAGAGTCCGGGAAGTGGAGGGGGGTTGGCTGTGGTCATCCATGGTTTATTATAGGCTCTAAACAGGTTGCAACTAGAGTTTTCCTTTGTCTCAGGGGGGTTGCAAGAAAATTTCTACAGCCTGCTGAAGTATTTTGTGTGAATGTGGCCCTTATCTTTTAGTACCCAGGTTCAACCTTCAGAAATAAACCATGGTTAAAAGTTGCAAGTGTGAATGCAGCCATTGGTGAAGTGATCAGGTTAAGGGGGTTGTATGGCTGTGATCAGAGGTAGTCTGGTGTAGTGGTCAAGGCGTCAGACTAGTAACCAGGAAACCATGAGTTCTAGTCTTGCCTTGGGCACAAAGCCAGCTGGTTAAACCTGGGCCAGCCAACCACTCAGAGCCCTGGGAAAGAGGCAATGGCAAACCACTTCTGAAAAACCCGGTCACTAGTTGAGGCTGTGGGGCTTCCTGACTCTGGCTTCAGTTTTACAAAACCAGCCAAGTCGACTCCATTTTGCTAAACATGGACAGATTTTTTTTCATCTGGTTGCTCTCTATAAAAGTGGCAGGAAAACTCCAATCCTGATTGTGCAAGGGAGTAACAAGTCCTCATGAAGGCTGAAGACAGGCTGATGAAGTTGGGGTCCTGGAAGGGCAGGAGGGCTGCAGGAGGTGTTGTCCCTTCCTGTCAAGGGCTGGGAGGGCGTGCTGGGAAAGAGGAAGGCAGGTGGAGCCCCTTTGTTATCCGGCTCAAGCAGCCTCAGGCATGGTTGGAAAAGGTTTCTTTGAGGGAGAAGACTTCCAAGCAGACAACAAGGATGATTGTTTGTGCTAATAGCGTTTGGGGACTCTTATCAGTTTCCCTACCAATAATATTATTAAATTATATATCCCAATT